TTGATAAAACTTTTTATTATGAAATGAGTTTCTCCAATGAGTAGCACGTCAATTTTATTTGTGTGTAAAAAGACTTTCAGCTCTTGCAACCTTTGTAGTAGGTTTGTAGTAGCATTCCTACAAATTGCTATTTTTAACGTATCCATTTTTATTTATTAATGTTATTTAGCATGTACGAAAAGAGTTCTAACATTTTGTTGATTTGAGCTTTTTTGATTGTCGAGTAAATAATTGGGTTTGTCGTAACAACATTGGTCATTAATTCAGTATTTTTAATTGACGCTGCCAGTAATTTTTTAATCTATGTCTCTATGTCAGATATCAAGTCTTAATTTTCAGTAGAAGCAAGTGTTATTTCATGGGATCGAGTTACTTGGGCGTAAGTTTTGTTATTTGTTTTTGTGTTTTGACGTGTTTTGATTCTATTAAATGGTTAAAACTAGCGAAATAGGCGAGTTAGACGATTTTTTGTTTCTCTGAATTTGCACGATCTCAACCAAAATTATCCGAGACGACCCAATGTACCGACAACTGCATCTGAAACATTTGAGCAAATTTTAATTTAAATAATAAGTAATAAATAGTAATTAAAAGTATAATTTTTATTTAAATAAAAATCATTTAAATAATATCAAAAATAATTTAATACACATTTCTTATTTTCAAGAATATATGTTTATTCTGTATTTAATATTATATAAAAAATACAAAAATAATTTTTTATTTTATTTGTCTCATATTCGTTATATTGAGTATGAGAAAACCAAATAAATAATATCATCATTTTTCACAAATATAATTTTTGAAGAGAATGTTAATTCTCTTTTTAACAAATCTTCGTGATAGAAACATTGTATTTAAAACAATTACAAAAGTGCAATAATAAATTTTAAAAATTAAAGCCAATGGGACTACTGATGACGTTGACATACTATTCTATTATTTGATTCATTGTCATTGCTGTTATTTCTATTATTTCATTCATTATCACTGCTTTCTGAAATAATGAAGGAAGATGAAAGAAGGGCTATGTATAAATATGACATAATGTCACTTTTTCTATTCCTTTTGTTAAAATTTTTTCAAGTTCCACGATATTGTTTAGACAAACTGGTTATAATTCATGAAAATTTGACTTTATCAATGATTACAGCAGAAAGTGAGTTATTTTTTAATTAATAAAAGTTGAATTTTCCTCAAATATCTGAAAACAATCAAAATGAAATGGAAGAAATTTTAAAAATAAGAATGTATTATTTATTTATTTATTATTTGTTATGTATACTGTTCTATAAAAAAATGAATGAATGTACACCTTAAGAAATAACAAGTCTACTAAAAATAAAAATAAAAATGATTAAAAAGAATTAAAAATAATTGTTTATTAAAAATTCTATTCCTGATTTTAAATTTAAAATATTATGTTTTTTATATTTTCGTTTCCTGGCGAATAGAACAGCATTAGACAAAATCTTCTTAGAATGCACTTCAGTATACTTTGAATAGGAAATCTGAAACCTATGTCCCTTTAAATATTTTGTTAGGAATTCATCACGTTATGAGCCGTCTTCAAGTTCAGTCAAGAACCAAAGTACAAATCAGAGAAAGATATACATATTTTTACGTCAAAAATCTTATTCGAATAGAGTCATTTTTTGAAATAAAAAATATTATTGAAAAATTTATTCTATTTGACTTACAGTGATACATATTTGAAAGTATTTACTTCAGACATACGAGTCCGAATTAATAATAATAATTATTAATATTAAACAATAATATTAAATAATTATGAAGTTAATAATATTAAATAATAATTATTTAAGGCGTATTAGAAATTATTATTTAAAATAATATTTCGCGCTTCGAAATTTGCATTGATTGTTTCAAATATTACTTGAGAAATTAACTAGAAACAATCTGGAGAAAAAAGTATTAATTAATTATATTAAATATTTCAAATTCATCATGAAGAATAACGTATTTAAAATTCTGTAATTCTATGTACTTGTAAAATCAAATAGATTTTAAATAATATTTTAATCGATAGAAAAGCAAACAGTTATTTCATATAAAAAAAGGAAATGCTATGTGGAAAATAATCTCTATAAGTACATTTATATTTTATTTGAAATACTACTTCATCCATCCTAATATTAGTCATTTCTCTATGGATAAGATTCAAAATTACAATTAAAATTACAATTCAAAACTACCGAAAGTTTTTTTATTACTGTCTGGAAAACCAATAAGAACATAAAACTGAACTTATTTAATTTAATTGGTGATGGGAGAGCAGGCGTCTTTACTTTGAGAAGATTTACACAAACATTTCATTAAATTATAACCAATATATAAATAGAAGATTGTATATTGTCTATTGTATTCTAAAGATTTCCTATTTTCTTATTTTAATGCCTGTGATGGAAACTTTATGTTTCAATCATCAGTGATAAAGTTACATATATCAGTTTTCACAAGGTCTTTATTATCAACATATTAAATATTTTGCAATTAAATACAAAATAAGCAGGTAAGCAGGCAAATAATTGAGTTATTAACGGAAAACAGGAAAAAAGTTTCCAAGAAATTGTATGTAAATATCTGACGTAAAATACTTTAGGTAGATTGAAATAATTTACTTCGAAATTGCTTACGAAGTGGGTACTTATAAGGAAATGTTTCAAAGTGAACGGTATCGAAGAAGAGGATTATATGTTATTATTACAGGTGGACGCGTAAAAGGGCATATGTATAAAATACACCAATGCTTTTGTTTAATGCAATCATATTTTTTAATACATTGGTATTTAGTATATTGGTATTTAAGATACAGCCATAAAATATTATTGCTTATAGAGTACTATTGCTTATGTCAAATATATATCTATTGTTTATTCAGAGCATGCTGAATAATAAATATTATAAAACGTTAGAAGAACATATGCTAACCTATTTCAGCACAAATACTTTTCTATATACATTAACGAATTGCGTCGGTCGAAATATTACGTTAAAGATCATAAAATTAATAGATGTTCCATTTTAAAATATTTTGTGTCAGATATCTTAATTTCACTTCTAAAGAACTATTTCTTGTTTAATCGCTAATAGCACGCTGTATATTTTATATCCAGTTGTGAAATATAGATATATTAATAATGAAGATAATGTAATAAGTAATGAAATTCCGAGAACTTTTCTCGAAAAAAAACGCGTCAATTCATGTTTCTCTTTGGCAAGTTTTATTCTCGCGATGAATAAAATGCGACGGCGATATAATCATAAAAATTTAAATCTTGAAATTCAAACTCAAGGTTAGTTTTGTGCTAATTCTTCTAAACAAGTCTCTCAATCAATCCGAAGGTGTAGAATCATGCTAGGTGTTGTATATAATGAAGAGCATAACGGAACTAATAATGACGAAAAATTTTCGATATTTTATAACTATTATAACTTTGTAAGGAAGAAACATAACAATTATTTTGATATAACTTACAAGCTTACGTAGAGTTTTACACCAGTTTACATTTTCATTCTCTCTAATTTCATAAATCTCAGTTCGTTTTTCTTAAAGATTTCACATCATATGTGAGTAAGTGGGGAAGTAAAGATACTTTTATTTTCCTTTTTTTAAATTGTAAACATTCAAATTCATAAATTTTTTTTAAGATCCACAATTATTTTGAATACTGATGTTTTCTTCTTGTAACGACCCCTTCAAACATGCTGTACAGTGTTTTCTCAGTGAACATATTGAACTTTGAACATTATGGTCAGACAACGAAATGTCGAGGTTTTTTGAATTTTTGTAGTTTAACCTTCAAGATTTTGATGATAATCACGAAAAAATCTTTTCAATGTTGTTAAAAACACTTGGATTCCTATAATTTTCAAAAATAAAAGTACCATTTTTTCCTTAGTCCAACATCTTTGAAAGAAACAATCAGGATTGTGAAAACAGAGACTGCTCGCTTCAAAATGAGACCAAATAGATTTGTATGATTTCTTTTTACGAAATTAAAATAGTTAAAAATTTCATTATTACTGATTCCGTTACGCTCTTCACTCTACATTTTTTTAATTTAATATAATGCTTAATTTAATTCGTTTTTAATAAACTGTAATTTCATTTAACATGTAAGCATGCCATCAACTTTGTCTTATAAAACTTGATGAATCCTGCTTTATTTGATGCATTCAGTGTCTGTTATAAATATTACAATAATTCCATTATAAATAGAATTATTCTTACACTCTACAATTTAAGAATCTAACGAATATTTTACATGATAAATAATTCGTGTATTTTTATTTCTTATAGCTAATTTTCAAATAATAAAGACTCGAATAATAAATTCGAACACTGAATAATCTAGGAAGTAGTAGAGGAAAAACTTGACATTTTCCTACAAATTTTCGAATTTAGATGAATTTAGAAACCTAAATTATATATCTGGGAAAGAGCTTCGATATTCACAATTTGTACACCGTATGCGTTTCTCTTTACATAAAAACTCTTTATTGGTACGTATATCAAGCAAGGTCAATTCTGTTAAAAAATATGCATTAGTTAGTTATCATTCGCTAATTAAAGAAGCATATCGCTCGCCTGTAAATGCATGTTATCTTCAAGCAGCACGCACGCGCGAAGAAATGCGTGCATTTTCTCCGAGAGCTGGAGTATAAAAATTGCGAATTTCAGCTCCCTAACATTAAAAGCAACAACGTTCTCTAAACATACATATTGTGCGGTCAAGCATTCTCAATAAAAACCAACATGCAACGTTATCTCGTAGCGTTTTTACTTGCCGTTGTGTTCATCAATGTTTGTAAGAATCCTATTTTCCTTTAAATTATTTGTATCACGACTTAAACTTATTTATTTATTTCATTCATTTAAAATATTCTTTATTCGTGTTTGTATTTTACATATATATATATTTTTTAATATTCGAATATTATGTTCTATATTTATTATATTAATATTAATTTGACTGTAAATTTTTAGGTATTTATAAGGAATTGTACGGAATGCATATAATACTGAAAGATGTAACAAAGTATCCAAAATTTATGATATTTTATATATAAAAGGACTTTTTACATCTTTTATTATATTTTCGAAAAAATGAATTTGCATAAATATTCGCAATCGAATTATAATTATGTAAGAGTATTAAAACTTGTACATGAATATATAATATATATGTTAATTTTACTTATTGTTATACATACATATATGTTGTTATATAAAATGTTACTCTTTAGTATTACTCTCAGTGCCCTGCTTCGTAACACAATTTTTATTCTGTGATTTTTATAAGTGTTCGTACTAAATTAGGTAGTACGCTGACATCAACATGTTCAACAAATGAAGAATGGAACATTTGTGGACGTTTATGTGAACTAAACTGTGATAATCCGCATCCAAATCCAAAATTTTGCCCCGGAATAGTGAGTGGTTTTGAGTTGTTCTCACTTACTTAGCATTAAGATACGTGTCCGTTTGAGTATATTTCGAGAATTATTTCTCTCAAGATTTATTACTCTA